AAAAAAAAAAAAAAACTTTCAGCCATTAATGAATCCATCCCGCTTCATGACCAAAGTGAGTTGCTGTTTTATGGGTCAAGATTCCCTGAAAGCGTTTTCTATCGTAATTTGAAAATTAAATAGTGCCTTGTCTGAGGCTAAAGAATCCTAACTTCTGCTAAAATGCATATTTTCACGAAAAATATTGAATTTCAGTGGTAGGCGTGTCCATTATTAAGCTAATGTCCTCTGGAAAAGAAAGTCACATGGATGGTCTTTATGAGGCTAGGCTCATGTGTGTAGTAGTAGAGTGAGTTACCGCTGGGAAGTGCGAGACAATCCAGAGAAGAATCTGTGACAGTTGCGATCACGCTTTTCAGAAGATTCTGAGCGCCACACCAACTTCTTGCGGCTCCAGTAAAGATTGCTGGTTGGGTTGAAAAAAGACTACGTGAATGTCCTGATGTTTCATTTTCTGGCGCATGTGTGTTCGAGAACATTAGTAGGGGGATTCAATTGTTTGCGAACTAGCTGGATAGTTCCGCTGTTAAATTTATTTTTATAAGATCCGTTTGAAAGAATGTTCAGGAAAAATCTATTCAAAAAGCTACAAACGCACTTAGTCATATTGATGTTGGGTTCGTGAGGCGTCAGAACGCTTCCTTCAGAATTAACATCACTTTTTTCAGATTTTTCACTCCCACAGATTGCCATGCACCGCTCCATACTGTCCTGAAAACCTTAAAATCACTCCGCATGCTCCATCGTGCTGCTCGAAATTCGCTTTTGATCCAAATTAAAAAAAAAAATTGATGTGTTATTAACTGCTCAGAGAACGGGTACCAACTTGTAAACTTTTTTGGAGTAGCACTGTGCTTACGGCACAAAATGGAAGTGGAAAATTTATCCCTTCTTGACCTCTCCAGTTTTTTTTTTGTAGCTTTTTTCAGATAAACACCAAAATAATTTGCAGCTCGTCAGGAGCAAAAAAGATCTCAGCCAAGTTTGTGTAGGTTGTTTCACCGATTTTTGGAAGTATCTCGAAGCAGTCGACCTAAACTACTTACCGACAGCTTAGACAATTCACGACGAATCGCCTTGTCGACTTGTTCCATACGCCCGCATCGTCTCACGCACTCTTCGGTTGTTCGGTCGTCCGCCACGTCGTTGTAACAAAGCGAAGCGCAACGAACCATTTGCAGCCTCAATTCTCCCATGATGCTAAAATTGCAAACTGATCCAGAATTATTTACAACAATGATTTGGAGCTCAGAAAATAGCGGATGAACTGGGCAGCTAACAACATCTTTTTGCTCTTAAACAGTATCAGAATCACCTTATTTGTAAAGAAATATGTATGGCTAAGTTAGGAACTATTCAAATTAATGCTGAATGCAGCGGGAAGCGAAGACCGAGTTTACCGATGCAAAGTTTGGATCCAAAATATTGATTGCAGTTGAATCGGAGCAAAAACGGGAATAGCACGATAGGAGGGAGTGTAGTTCTGGACAAACGATGCCATTTTCTGATGAGGGCCATCCTTTTTTTTACGAGGGCCAATTCACCAGCAATAAGAGCGGGCCAAAGACGAGAAACAGCTAAACATATGCGATAACTGCACCAGTACTGATATTTTAAGTCTCGCATTTCAAATTTTCAGCAAGAGTCATCATTTCCGAAAAAACTATTCGTAATTCTCGTTTTCTAAATTTGCTTCTCGAAGGATAAGTTGAAAGCAAAGTTCGCAGCGCACCTGCAAACATCAGTGCCAGTTCTGCAATATGCCAGTTTGGAAAATCATGGAAGAATTGATGTTGTCAGCATCGACATTGGCTTGGTGGCGAGAAAGTGGAGATCACACTCCAAACCACTGGCGAGAACTTGCACCCTCACTAGATTACGATTTGGACAAATTTACTTAAAAACGAACAATATGCATGAGAGGTCCCTGCTAGTATTTTTGACATGACATTAGCATTTTGTGAAGTCCAAAACTCCGAAATGCATGAAAACGAACCACACTGAAAGTTTTTTCCTGCCAAAACACGAAGCGTGCCTCCATCCGAAAATAAAAAGTATTTTCTTTTGAGACATAATTCTAAATTTGAAACCAAAATCCGAATTTTCTAAATAATAAGAATGAAGCAAACCCAGATTCCAAATCCAGGAGCATCTTTTCCATCGCTTGGTGAAGTCTTTGTTCAAAAAATTCCATAACTAATACTGTCCAGCTAACTGCAAATACACGTACTATCTCAAATAAAAAAAGCAACAATAATAATCGAGATTCAAGTAGTCGCACAAACACAATTAGTGATGCGTAATGAGGGATATAAAAGCACTTAAAAACTTGAAATGCGAGCCTAGAGAGGAGCACGCAGTAGCTCTACCGGGTCCAGTACTTTTTGCAATAAATGATTTATATGACAATCAGACGTTTTTGCATAAATGATTTGTGTAACATTATGATCGTTTATGCAAAATAAATTATGGTGAGAACATGTATATGCAGACATGCCTACAAAAACGCAAGTATGAATGGCTCCTGCGTTACGACTTAACGCTTGGACTCATGTTGGCTGTGTTTTAACCTTATCATGCATGCAAGGGAAAGGGACATTGGCTAGAATGACAAAGTTGTCTCATGGGGCAGTATTAATTTCTAGCATGCATTATTATCAGTTCTGCATAAAGAGAAGTGAATAGTTATTTGTCGTTCGCCAAAAAACGCATATCTAACAATTTACAGGATGTCGGGAGAGCAGGATTACAAAATACGAAGAATGCACCCGATTTTAAAATTGCAATAAAATAGAGTTTTTGTCATGCCCTCGCACGAGAAATTTAGCCTCCAAATTGGATTCAGACTATGACTGAACATAGAATAACCTTGCAAACTTTCAGCCTCGCAGCTTTGTAGATACCCAAAACCGCTATCTCACTAAACATATCTTTGACGTTCCCTAATTCGTGGCGCGAGTGCAGATCGAAACTCGAGTTAGGTATATAATTTTCCAGACGGACGATAAACATCCTCACGTTTTATGGTTAGTTACTGACTTGGTATGCTGCCAGCTGTATACTTCGACGTAATTGTACGCATGACGTAAGCTTGCGCGACAGCTGAAATTGAAATCTTTAGCTCACATATGGACAAAAAGCATCACTGTGAAATTTCGGTTTTCCAGCTTCTCTGGTCCTCAAAAACGTCTCGCCAAAAAAAAACTGATTTTTTCGGCATCCATGCGTGAGATCCAGACCTACGTAAGCGATGATTTCTGGTTGTAAGAATGACACGTATGGTGGAAACACACCCGTAAAATTTCTGATTCCTGGCTTCTCCAGCTTTGGAGTTTGAAAGGGGCGGCAAAGTTCAATCGCCTGAACACACACACACACACACACACACAAACACATACCGACACCCTGTTGACAAATGGGTTCTTGCAATTTATAAAGTGCGAAAGCGCACAAAAAATCCCAAATATGAATATATGTATAAGTTCATTTATATGTTTATATTCGTGTATTTTTGCATTTTTGTGCATATGTAAATGCAAAAACGCATAAAACAGGCAATCGTTTGGTGAACGAAGTGCACAAAACGCATGATCGCACCGGCTTGTCTGGTGCGCGTTGCTATTTATTTTGTGTATGCATCCGGGTGCGCCGTGTCTCACACTTTTAACTCAGGGACCGCAAAAACTAGAAGGCTGGAATTTTAGGGCAATGTCCTCTGCCTAGTGCAGCCTGCAAATTTAAATTCATCCCTCACAAATCCCTGGGTACCACGCACCGCCTGCAAAAGTTTTGATGAGAATAACTGTTATCTCGACACGAATGCTAGGAGGCTGAAATTTTGGGGTAAAGTTTCCTCGCTCAAGTACAGCCTAGCAAATCCAAATGCAGCTTTCACTTAAGTCGGGGTCTCACGTACGGCTCCGTAAAAGTTTTGGTCGGAAATCATTATTTCGAAAGCGCGAAAAGCTAGAAGGCTGAAAAGCTTAGGAGGATGTTTTTTGCTTGTACTGCGGCGTAGCAAACTCAGACTTGGCTCCCAAGGATGACCAACCAAGTCTAACGACCAGACGAAGGTTTTGGTGCGGAAGTTACTCGGAAGCCAGAGAACTAGGAGGTTAAAATTTTAAAACAATGTTTACCGTTCAAATTTAGCTTTCACGTGCGTTTGCGCTTCACCTAACCATACGTGATAACTTTGAATGGGAGATTTTGCAGCTTAGGAACAAAACAGCATTTCGGCTGTAGACCAAAGTATAAGAGAGTGAAAATCTTTAGCAGGTAGGCGTCCGCTGGAGGAAATTGCGCGAAACGCAAGATCGTACCGGTTATCATGGTGCACCCCGCTGTTTATGCGTTTTTGCATATATGCGGATGCAACCCAGGCTGGAACGCACCGGACGCGCCCGTGCGATCATGTGTTTTTGCACCGGACTTGAATTACTCAGGTCATTAACTATAAGAATTGCTGTTGCTTTACACCTACCTGTTGCGGTCACTAGCATAAATCACCACAAATTTTGCAAAGTAAATGTACAATTTCCATTTAACAGTCGTTCTTTAAAAGTAAACTAGTTGTTCAGTGAGAAATTTTTTCGTCAAGACTTTAAGTGCCAGTATTTAAGAAGCAATCATGCCTCAAGGCTGAATTTGAAATACTTAAGTAGTACTTGGACAGGGAACACTCCCTCAAAATTTCAGCTTTCCAACTTTTCTGGTTACCGAGTTAGCAGTTTTCCCGCTACAACCTTTACATACCCGTATTTGGGTACCCCACGTGCCTGGAAAGCTGAATTTGAAAGTTTTAAATTGTAGGTGGGCAGGGGCAGGGAACATCCCGCTCAAAATTTCAGCCTTCCAGTTCTTCTGATTGCCGAGTTAGTAATTTCCTGCAGAAACTTTCATACCCCTTACTTGAGTACAATGCATAGCTTGGGACTGATTTTGAAATATTTGAGTTGTACTTGGATGGGGGACATTCCCTCAAAATTTCAGCTTTCTAGCTTTCCTAGTACCCAAGTTAGCAATTTCCCCTCTAAAACTTTCGTACGCCCTTACGTGAGTACCACTCATATCTTGGGGCTGAATTTGAAATATTTGAGTTGCACTTCGGTAGGGGACATTCTTGCAAAATTTCAGCTTTCTAGCTTTCCTGGTACCCGAGATAGCAATTTTCCCCCTAAAACCTTTGTACGCCCTTAAGGGAGTACCATGCACAGCTTGGGGCTGAATTTAAAATATTTGAGTTGTACTTGGATATTGAACATTTTCCCAAAATTTCAGCTTTCTAGCCTTCCTGGTACCTGAGTCATCAATTTCCCCCTTAAAACTTCCATACGCCCCTACGTGGCTACCACGCACACCCGGGGGATGAATTTGAAATCTTTATCTAGTACATGCACAGGGAATATCCCTACAAAGTTTCAGCTCCTCAGCTCATGTGGTTCCCGAGATCGAGTTCCCGCCAAAAAATTTGCATATTTTTTTAAGGTTTCCGTACGCGGCACCCAGGCGTCCAAGGGGGATGAAATTAAAACGGGAGGGTCGCGCATGGCATGGGTACATACTCCCAAAGTTTCAGCTTTCCAGCTTTTCTGGGTCTCGAGTTGAAAGTGGGTGACAAAAAGTGCGAACACACAGATACACAGACACACACACAGACACACACACACACACAGCCTCTTCCCAATATGCGTTTTTGCAATTTACATATATGCTAAAACGCATAAAAACGCATATTGTGACGACCCATGGTTTGGATGAATGTGTATTTTCGTGTGTGTGCATGTGTCTATGTATACCAGAAAAGCTGGAAAGCTAAAGTTTTGGGAGAATGTCCTCCGTCCACATAGAACTCAAAGATTCCAAATTCAGATCCCAAACGTTCGTGGTCCTCACGTATGGCCCCTTGAAAGTTTTTAGCGGGAAAATCGCTAATTCGAAAACCAGAAAAGCTGCAAAACAGGAATTTTTCCTATGCAAGTAACATATAGTTGCTGACTTCATGAACTTCGAGGGCCACCATATCACAAATTCTAGCAACATCAATACAGCAAAAATGCATGATCACACAGGCTCCCTGTTACATATCGCCAATGATTTTTAATGTATTGTTACTTTACTTAGTGTTTTCTAACTTTTTCATTGCTTTCAATTGCATTACAAAACTTTTCAGCTGATTTTTACGTCTTTATGAAAGTATTCTGGCCGTTGGCTCAGCTGGTAACGCCTTCTTATTTCACACAACCGAAAAAGCCTCCTAGCCCTGCAGTGCAAGAGATGGAGCAGTTGCTCTTCTTCTTCCATTCATTCCCAAGTGATTCAGTGATTTTGGTGCACCTCATGTTCATTTCTTGTTTTGTTTACTCGTCACTAGGCTAAGACACATATTCTTTATCAGCGAGCAAGTGACCATTATCAGCACACCATCCAGTGATATGATACCACGCACAATAAACTATGTTCCTTACAAAAAGAACCAGTTAATTCACTGGATGTTTGACTCATACGTCGAGAGATGTTTTTTGTTGGGCTCACGTAGTTGCTAATTATCCTCTTTTTCTTAGCTGTTCCACAGAACGGCGGAATCCAGAAAAGAGGAAAGTGGTAAAAGGCCGAGTCTCAAAACGAGGTAGGGCTCGAGTATGCGCACCCAGTGTAAGTCCCGTCGTATACTGCTTTTTTTTTTCTCCCTCGGATTAGTGCCCTCCCCTTCCAGTTTTTCCTAACTACTTCCTTCCAACCCCGTCAATCTTTTTACCCGCATTTCTTCCCTTCGCTGCCTGAGTACCGATGAGCTACTTGATTACCAGTGCTGTGGTTTATAGCTGCTGCCCATCTGCTAGAAAGCAGTGGGAGTGACCGCAGCAGTGAACAGCTGAGTGACCACCAGCTGAATAGCATTTTTTCCTCACTGTGTCTGCTGCTTTTTCGCTGTTTTTTATTGTCTGTAAGCCAAGTTGCTAGCCCTCTCCCTTCTCTCAGGAAGAATCCAGATGCAAGTGAACACGCATAAACACACACCCACGTTTAGCCATAGCCACAAATGCATATACACGCGCATCCCTGTTGGCGGCTTGCCTGAGCCACGCCTCTCACCCGCCTTCTGCTCCAGAAACGCACTTATTTATAGGTCCCTGCTCCAATTGCATCTTCCTGTCACTCATTTTGATGTGGTTTTTTGCGACTAGTAGATCTTGTTCACCTATGCGTTTGCCGAATAACCGAGGTGCCTGTCTTCCTTAACCATCAAACAAAAATAAACCTCTGCATTTACGCAACTAGCAATAACCGTAGCTCAGAATCGTATTCCTTCTCTATTGCTGTGTTTCTTTGAACTACTCTGGATTTCCTTACTGGGGCGATAGCGTAGATTATTTTATATGCTTCGTTTTTAGATTGCTTCCAGACTGCTTCAAGCAAGCAGTGCTTTTTCTGTCATTTTCTTCTTGCTTCATCTTGTAGCGTCTGAGATACTCGGAACCATTTGGTGGTTACCAAGCAGCGATTTGAACAAAATGTGAATATGATTTTCCAAATTTGCTTTTTTAAGCTTCTAAAACAGTCTGTTTCAGCTGCCACATTTCTTGCAATTAGCAGAGCTGGCAAGTTTACCAATTCTCTTTGTTTTTAGTCGCTTACCGCATAGTTTCACAAACCGTTTATGCAGGAAATTTTCGCAGCACTGGCGATCTTCTCATTTAACATTGTGTGAATCCCATTCATTAGCCTGCCTGATATGTCTGTTGTCTTTCATTCCTGTCACATAACTAGTCCAACACTTGTTCTTGACGAACATTGCTCTGATAATATCTCTCACATTATTCTCGAATGGCGGTATTTCATTAGAAGCTGTGATTTACTGACACCTACCATGCGTCGTTTCATGGCTCGAGGGGCTGCCGCTATGTTTTTCTTCTTAACAGGCATATAGGTCCGTGTTTCACTTAGTGTGGTAATACGGTAATATTCAAAAGTTGTTAGCATTTGAAACAGATTTCTCATCACTTGGTGAATACTACTCATTCTGCATATTTCTGCTTAGCTTTCGAACAGGGTCGTTTTACTAAAAAATAGAAAAAAACAGAGGGATTTTTTGTTGAAAGTGAAATACTCCAGATGCTTAGTTTGGCGGATAAAGTTTTGCTTGTTGTAGAAAACTCAAAAATAAGTGACTCTTCTCTGTAATCGTCCCTGGCCTACCACAAATAAAGCATGTTTAAGAACCTGTAAGCGGTGCGCTGGGCCTGGCCCATTTTCACTTTTTTTGTTGGATCATAACGCCTAACTCTTCACTAACTTGTGTATCACTCCGCAGTTTGTTGTAGTAGTCGTGCGCTACTCTGTGGAAAAATTCCAGAATTATTGCGTCGGGGTTCTTACTTCACACTTGCAGCAGGAATGAATTTGTCTCAAACAACAACGCCAGCTACTGTAACACTCGGTCAGTCTTGTCCAGCGGCCTCAGCGATTATTCAGTGTTGTCCAGCAGTCACGACGATGGTTCAGTCGGCTTCCGTGGTTAAAACGGTGATTCAACCATGCCCAAAGGCCACAACGGTGCTTTCATCAATCAAAACAACACTTTTGAATGGCCCTCAACAAGCATTGCTGCAAGAGGGAGTAAATTGCGCCACAGTGCAGTCATTCCCAGTTGTAACAGCAGCGGCTCCCACAGTACCGCAAGGCTCCACTCACCTTCTGCCGAATGCCTGGAATGGTCAGGCGGTTGCTTATCCACCAGTGACCACGTATGCTGTGTCTTCCAATTTTCTTCCAAATGCTGCTGGTCAGGAAATAGTGGTGCCTCAAAATGGACAAGGCAGGAATGCAGCGGGTGCCTATGTTGTGCAGCAAGCAGCTCCGTATAATAATACAACCCTCTATACTCAACAAGCTCCCGCTGTGGCCAATGAGCATCATTTCCAGAATGTGCTTCCGGCGTACTACGTCGGAAAGCAGCCGCCTGAAGATCCTTCAGCCGTTCCGCCAGATGGTTAGTTTCTTTTGCTTGAATCGTTCGGCGTATTTTTAATTCGCTCTTAAATTTTTAGTGTTCCTTAGATATGGTCAGTCTGAAGCACTTTTTGATTTTCTGTTTGTTTTTTAGAGTCTCCAAGTATTTAGTCCAACTAAATGCATCCGGTTTTGTGTGTGTCTTTTGTAAAACAAAATCGTATCTGCATCTATTGGTCAGGGCATTCATTTGCTCATCTCGTTTCTGTACTCACCTACATAGCCAGTTTGAACCAATTTCTGAGGGCTGTCCTATTAGATCTTGCATCTTGGCTCATCGTCGTAATGCCCCTTAATGCCTTGAGACTGAAAACAAAATTAGCGAGCAATTTTTTAAAACACAAAATGCGTTCTTCGAGTTCTACTCCTTTACCTCGCTCGTCCGATATACGTGGCTACTGGACAAATCGAAAGCCGAAACTCACGGCCCATTACAAGCCCCCACCCAGATATTTTGAGAAGATATGGCAGATCAGTATATTGTGTATGCGCACATAGAAAAGACTTAAAAATCGTCGTTATCCACCGCTTTATCCTAAGCCCATCAATCTTGATTATCCTTATGAGCAGGCTAGATTTCCTCCTCGACTGGATCAATAGCCGACTGTTTTTACCATTAATGGCTCTCTGGATCTCCCCGTTTTTAAAACTTTTTGCCGTACATCACCAGGGCGCTACAGCAGGCAGCAAAAACGCATATTGCGACGACTTCCTCTGCGTGTGTATGTTTGCGTGCGTATGTATGTGTTTGTCTGCCCGAGTGTTTTTTTTACTCGCCAAGCGCGCAAGCTTTGATGCTTAAATTTGCCAGCGGCCAAGTGCCACTCCAGGAACGTGATATTGATGTCACGCATGTCTATGTCTCACGCACGGACACATGAAGGTTTTGGCGGGAAAATTGCAAGCTCGGTGATGAGAAAGGCTAGAAAGCTGAAACTTTAAGATAATGTTTCCCACCCATGTATGGCTAAAAGGTTTCAAGTTCAGCTGCTTAGGATTGCCTGGGATTCACATGCAGGCATTGAAAATTTTAACCTGAGAATTGTTAACTCGGGAAAGAAAAAAACTAGAAAGCTGGAGCTTTAGGGTAATGTTCAGAACTCACGTGCGACCAAAACATTTCAAATTTAGCTACTTAGAACCGCCCAGGATTCGTATGCGGTCATGTGAAAATTTTGACGGGAAAATTGCAAACTCGGGAACGAGAAAAGCTGGAAGGTTAAAATTTCAAGAGAGTGTTCCCTACTCATGTGCGAGTCTTTTTCGCGCACCAGCAACTTTCTATTTGTCGGGTCACTGAAGCCGCACAGCTGTGTGGCATGTCAGTTGTAGATGCCGGGTTCGAGGGCTAGTATGTTACAAATTTTAGCTACTGTGATTTCTTGCGATCTTGCTAAGTAAGAAATAGCGCAAAAACACATGAACGCTCCGGCCCGCCTGATTTTTTTTATGCAGTCCACTTTTCTAGGTCCATGGATCTGCAAACTGGTAGAGAAGGTGATGCGTATGCATATGCATGCATGTGTGTTCCTGAACAATTGTTTACTCTTTGACTCTCCGTTGTCGTTGCTTTTTGGTGCTGCATTTGATGGGCATGGATGAAGAGGAGTGGGAGGGAGGGAACACGAAAAAGGTGTGATGGGAAGTTGAAAGGTGTAAGAAAACAAACTCACAGCACAGGTATCTTCCTAGTTTTTACTGATGAGCAATTTCTCATTTTCGGCCTCATACTGTTTTTTGGTTTTTCTATGCACTTCCAGTTCCCAACAATTTCAGTGACTGTAACCCCCTTTTAGCCTTCCCTCTCTCTTCCATTCCCACAACCGCAACCCTCCCCTTCTCCCCTTTTTCACTGTTCGTCTTCTTTTTCTCTTTCGCAAGATAATTGTAGATTTGATGAGATAATGAGACCATTATCTCATCAACTTTTTTTAAATGACAGAATTAAACAGTTGCGCATACTATGAATAGATATCACCAGAATCGATATCCCGGCCATTCAACATATAAGCTTCTCACTGATTCCATCTTCGCCCCTTTTCTTCGTCATTGAACAGAGGGGTTTTTCCTTAAAACGCTTATTTTTTGAACAGCAGGGAAAAATATAACTTAATTTCGGTTTTCTTAAATTCTTTATAAAAAAAACCAGGCTTTATGTGTTTTCACATATTATTCAAATACAACCCAGGTTGGAACGCACCAGGCGGGCCAGTGCGATTATGCGTTTTTGCACTTTTCGTGTCGTAGCAAGATCGCAAGGGACCACAGTAGCTAGCGCTGTGACATACCGGCCCTTGAATTTCGGGAATTTAATTGTGCAGCTATGTGGCATGTCAGTTGTAAATATCGACTTCAGTGACCCGACAAATGGAAAGGTACTGATCCGCGAAAAAAGCTCCACTAAAAGAGTTAAATTTGAAATCTTTTAGTTGCACATGAGTAAGAAACATTGGCTTAAAATTAAAGCCTTCCAGCTTCTCTCGTTCCCGAGTTAGCAGTTTTCCCATCAGAATTTTCACGTATCCATACGCGAGTATCGGACGTTTCTAAGGAGCTGAATTTGAAATCTTTTGGTCGTACATGAGTAGGAACATTCCCCTAAAGTTTCAGCCTTATAGCTTTGCTCATTTCCGGGTTAGTGACTTTCCCGCCAAAATTTCCACGTGCTCGTACGTGGGTCCTGGGTAGTCCTAGGCAACTGAATTTGAAATCTTTTAGTTATATACGGGTAGGGAACATTCTCCTAAGGTTTTCGCTTTCTAACTTTTCTTGTTCCCGAGTTAGTAATTTTCCCACCAAAACTTTCACGTGGTCGTACGTTGGGGCCAGATGTGCATTAGAGTTGATACTGCGGTTCTAGGTTATCACTTGGCTGGGGAACACATTGGCAAAATTTTAGCTTCAAAGCTTGCGTGGTTGGCGAGTTGAAGTACCCGCACAGACAAACAAACACACATTGACAGGGTCGTTGCAATATACGTTTTTGCTGCCTGTTGCAACTCTCTAGCGCTGCGCGGCAAAAATGCATAAAAACGATATTGGAGGCTGTCTGTGTGTTCGCACTTTCGTCGCCCACTTTCAACTCGAGAACCAGGAAAGATAGAAAGCTGAAATCCCTCAAAGATATTCTATTTTCTGGCATGGACTAAAGATTTCAAACCCAGCTTTAACGCACACATGTATCTCGTGTATGAAAGCGTTAAAGTTACCTTTGACGAAATGCCAATCCAGGAAATAAGTAAATCAGAACGTTCTAACTTTACAAGAATATTTGTTTCCCGTAACTGGGAAAGTAGGCTTGAAATGAACTTTTGCTCCCCCCGATTGTCACTCCTCTCAAAAGCACGCTTCCCCCTCCCGTGCTCTTACTGGTGGACACTAAATTGAAAGTGCCACGGTTCCTCGGGGAAGGGGAAGGGGCGACATGTAGTATTGAAAAAACTTTTTACAGTAAGACATCTACTACCTGAGCTCTTTGGGAGAGAGGGGAGGGAGGTTGGGGCAAAAACCCCTCCGCCCTTCTCCCCCCTCCCCTCCCCCCCTTCCCAACTCCGCCGTGGATCCGCCAATGCGCATAACATACATGCTACGGAGCTGAAACTATGCCTATTACTGAATACAGTATTTCAGTTCGAGCTTTAAAGCATGCCTAGGTCTCGTGTATGCTCTAAGTGAATCTGGACACTGGTGGCATCCATAACTCGATAACCAAAATGAGCTGGAAGTAGTATTTTCCTGTGAGGGCCAAAAGCACAAGATGAACTTTCCCTGGGCACAGGCCTTGCGTACAGGCGCATCAGATGATCAAATTGCAACACCGCAGTTACACCTTAATAGTACAAGCAATCTTTCTACGAAATGAAATAGTGCAAAAACGCATGTCCACATCGGTGAGCCTGGTGCGTCATAGCCTGGGTTTAAAAAAACATTAAAATGAGGCGATGTGCAAAAACAGTCATTGATGGCCATCTTCATGCTGAAATGAAGTATTTGGGGACTGAGTAGAGAGGTGCAGTCTGGATCAAGTGGTCACATCCGCAAAATGGCACAGTGACAGATGTTGCGCATTTCCAACAACGTAATTCTTCTGTTTTTCCTTATTATTCTGGTTTTTCTCGAATTAATTTTCCAGAAGGCAATAGCGCTGAATGAGGTACAGAATAATTAATAATTCATAGAAAATTTTCTTGGGGATGTTTGCTGTTCGTGTTTGGGCCACCAAGCATAACATGAACTTCTGCCTAGGTATGAGCCCTGCTTAATGATACATCAAATTTTCTAATTGTAAAACCGTAGTCTTCCCCAAAGCGCAAGCAGTCTCACTGCAGGGTGGAATCACGCAAAAACGCATCATCGCGCTAGTAAGCCTGGTGTATCGCTAATTGGTCAGCTTTGACTTGTTCAGCTGAAAATATATCTTGAAAAATTGCAGGTTTATAAACAAAGTAATGAATTTCTGTAAACCATTTTTTCAGAACCACAGCCGGACGATGCAGCAGTTACAAAGATTCCACGTTGTAAAGTGTGTGGCGATAAATCAAGCGGATTTCACTATGGCGTTGCCGCTTGTGAAGGATGCAAGGTTAACTTTTTTCCTTATTTCTTCGTGAATATTGCTTAGGACTAGTCAATTTTTCTTTATTATTCAAGCCCTTGAACGTATCACTGCATCAGCCATAACATGAGATCCAATATCTTTTCCTTGTGCTGCATTTTGCTGGGATTGCGAGCTAAAATTTTTGGAGTGCATTGTAGGAAGCGGAAAACACAGACTTCCAGAATCTGTAAAATATAAATGATGCATTACTTTCTGAGCACAGTATTGGTTATCTACATGATTATCCATTTTGCGCAAGTGTAGATGCAATTATGTGACACTGCGTGTCTAGAGCAACTTTATTGCAAAAATTCATGTCTGTGCGGGATTGTCCTGCTGATACTGCTTTCCACTGTATGTGAAGACCCAGTTCTGGATCTTCCACATTTATGCAAATGTAAAAATGCATACTGGCAAGAGGTCATTGGTATGAGTATAGGTGAGTGTACGTGTGCTTGGATTTTTGTCACCCACATTCAACTCAGCAGCTGCAGAAGCTAGGAGGCTGGAAAGTTCATAAAAGTTTGCTTAGTTCACGTGCCATCCAAACAGCTTAAAATTACCATTCACATAAGCCTGGGTCTCAAGCATGGGCGCCTAAAGCACGTAAATTTTTTGACGAAAAAACGATTACGGAAGCCAAACAGAATAGGAAGATGAAAATTCACATGCGTATTCTCTCCCCATTTGTGGGCAAAAGATTCATCTGTAACAAATGTCTACTTCACGCGCACAAATACATCAAGGTTAAAATCCAGATAGCAAAGTGTCAAGTGGAGAATCAGACTGGATTAAGTATTCTGTCTTCACGAGAACATTTGTTGCCCATGTTCAGGAATTTAGACGTCAAGTAAGCTGTGGCATGCGTCCATGGGCGCATTTGGACATGTCGAAAATATTTCTAAGGAAAAGCGATTTAGTTAAGCTCGAGGACAGAAACTTAACGAGGATATTATATACCTATGGGCGACTGCAATACTTCAAATTCAGCTTTGAAGCATTCATAGATCTCGTGTGCGCGCAGGAAAGTTTAGTATGAAATGTTCTTGGCACTCAACTCGGATATCAGACTGAGCAGGAAGCAGAATTTTTCCGGGGATGTTTGCTGTTCATATGAGAACCAGCAAGAATAAAATGAGTTCTGGTACGCGCTCTGCATACAGGCGGATTAATTGTTGTACCTCGGTTGAAAATGCAGTACCTCGGTCAACATCTTTCTCTCCCGCTAACTGGACGGGCATTTCCGGTTTAAGTATCTCATATCACACTAGCTGTGCTTTATTACATTACATATGTCTGGGAATATAACACAAACCAGAAAACCTAAACTAAGCGATCTTACTTCAAGAAGAAATCATGCAGAAGTGCATAACCGCACCGGCAAGCTTGATGCGTTTCCGCCTGGGTTGCATTAAACTTGACGCAGTCAGATCGTTAACTGTAGGAATGGTTGTTGCTTTACATTTAGCTTGTTTAGTCACTATCGTAAACTATTGTAAAGAAAAATCACTGGCAATGTGCACCAGGCAGGCCTGTCCGATCATTAGTTTTTGCAATATTCCGTGCTAATGGCAAGATCGCTTGAAATCCCATTGGCTAGAATTTGCGACATACTGGTTCTCGAACTTCGAGAAGTTAATTGTGTAACTAATGGTACTCGGATAGGGAACATTCTGTTAAAATTTCAGCTTTCCAGTTTTCCAGGTTCCCGAGTTAGCAACTTGTACGAAAAAATTGTCGCGGGCCCGTACGAGAGGGCCACGTACACCTGGAGGTTGGATTTGAAATCTTTGAGTTCTGCGTAGACGGGGAAGATCCGCTCGAAATTTCAGCTTTCTAGCTTTTTCGGTTTCCGAGTTAGCCATTTCCCCCTTAGAAAATTTCATGGGGCTGAATTTCAAATGAAGTTGCATATGGGCTGGGCACATCCCTTTAAATTCCCGCCTCTCAGCTTTCTCTATCTTCGAGTTACCGGTTTTTCCACCAAAAAATTTCCGCGGGGTCCTACGTGAAGACCGCGCACACCTGGGAGCTGACTTTGGAACTCTTAACATCCCCTTAAAATCTCAATCTCCCAACTTTTCCGACTTTCGCCGGACCTTTCATGTGGTCGGGGCCCGATGTGCTTGAGAGTTGGCACCGCTTTCCTGGAGTGGCACTTGGCCAGGGAGCACACTGGCAAAATTTTGTCGCCGGAGCTTGCTTAGTTACCGAAATGAAATACCCGGGCAGTCACGTGCGCGCGCACGCACACACACATACACGCACACACGCACACCATGGCTCGTCACAGTATGGGTTTTTATGCGTTTTTGCATATAAGCAAATTGCAAAAATACATATTGGCAAGAGGCTGTGTGTATGTGTGTTCGCACTTTTTGTCACTCGCTTTCAACTCGAGGACCGGAAATGGCAGAAGGCTGAAACCTCGGAAGTATGTGCCCAGCATCTGTGCAAACTTCTCTTTTTAATATCATCACCCGCGTACGCTTGAGTGCCGCGTACGGACGACTTAAAAAAAATACGCAAATTTTTTGATGGGAAAGCGATCTCGGGGACCAGATAAGCTAAAGAGCAGAAACTTTGCAAGGATATTCTCTATAAATCCGTGAGCTAAAGATTTCAAATTCAGCCCCTAAGTGTCCGTACTTCACAAATACGAGCACTTGGAAGTTTTGGCGGGAAAATTGCTGAAAATTAGAAAGGCTGAAAATCAGCCTTTCATATTAGAAAATTTGGAAGGCTGAAACTTTTAGAGGATGTTCCCTGTCCACGTACAATTTAAAGGTTTCAGTTCAGCCCCCGGATGCACGTGGTACCTACATAGTTTTGGCGGGAAAACTGTTAACTCGATAAGCCCTTTGTGTGTGTGTGTGTGTGTTCGTCTGTGCGAGAGTTTCAGCTCGGCAACCAAGCAAGCTCCGGCGCCAGAATTTCTTCAGTTGGTTCCTCAGCTCCTGTCCATGTAAAATCTAAGGATTTCAAGTTTCGTTTCCCAGGCACGTGGACTATCCACGTACGGGTATGTGTAAGTTTTGACGGGAAAATTATTAACTCGGGAACCATAAAAGCTAGAAAATTTCAGCGGAATGTTCCCTGTCCAAATACAACTTAAATATTTCAAATTCAGCCTTCAGGTACAAGTGTTGTCACGTAAGGACAACTAAAAGTTTTGGCGGGAAAATCGCTCACTGAACAGCTAGGTTACTTTCAAAGAACGATCGTTAAATGGAATTGTGCATCTACTTTATGCCAAATTTGTGGTGATTTACACCAGTGAGCGCAAAAGGTAGGTGTAAAGCTACAACCATTTGCGCAGTTAATGACCTGAGTACTTCAGGTCCAGTGCGAAAACGTATGATCGCACTGGCAAGCCTGGTGCGTTCTAGCCTGGCTTGCATTTGTACATAGGCAAAAACGCATGAAAGCCGGAAGTGTGACTTCTTCCAGTCTAAAGTTATAGTGGATTCCCAGCTCTTACGCGTCCTGTAGATTGTAGGTTGGGGAACACTGAGTCTGGGGATTTAATTTTGACTGATCCTTGCTGCTATAAGCAATGAGCCGGACCCCAAAATTTCGAACTTCTCTCTCCACTCTTTAATTGCTAAGGTAAAATTTGTTATCACCAATCAGGGACTTTCAGGCCATATAACCTTAATTACTTGTTGAATCAGGCCCTGACGGTTTTGATTTTTGAATTTTTGTTCATTCTCAGAGTAGCATGCCAGGGGAAAAGAATTGCCGACTCTAACCTGTCCTACCCATGTTAGAGTCGGTAACTCTTTTCCCAAAGTTTTCAGTTTTCTGCTCCTTATAGTTTCTATACTAAGTCGTATTGATGGACGCAGGAACAGGCGTAGGCTCCAACGTATTGAAATTTCGTAAAAGGTAAATGCGAAAATGGCACGTAAAAAGTGTACAAGAAATACTGAATGCGCCGTTTGGTGGTTCAGCTGGCAAAAGAGGCAAAAAAAGGCAAAAAAGCAACTGAGGAGTGCTGTGTTTTATCAGAGAGAGATGTTTTACTCATTCCATGCAAAAGTAACAAAATGCAATGAAAATGCAAAAAAAATAGCACTAAAACAGCGGAAAAACGTAAAAAAGACAAAAATGTGATAGTAGGGGGCAGACTGAGTCACCCAACTTTGGTCTTTTATAAATGAGACGATCTTTGTTATTCTCCTCCCTTCTCTCAGCCTTTTTGTGAAATTTTGTACCGTGCTTTGGAATACATAAAATAAAAGCATTGTTTCTCGAAGTAGTAGATGTTCGGTAGCGAAAATCTGGGAATTTGAAAGACTAAAGTTCTAAATTTTGTGTAAATGGCGCAAGTAAAAATATTTTCAAGCATATTCCTATTATTCTGAAATGCAGGTGTACAAATGAATGTTCCCTATCAAAAACACTTTTCTCTTAACTGTGTTTAAGCGTGCATCTATCCAGAAGATTAACTTTTGTTACATTATGATGAACATAATATAACAGTTCGACGTTCTTGAAATTGATAAAGAGCTCTCCTCAGGGGTTTTTTCGGCGAAGTATTCAGAAACAAATGGAGTATCGTTGTTTGCGAGAAGGCAGATGTCAGATTTATCGCATGAATCGAAACCGATGCCAGTACTGTCGATTCAAGAAGTGTTTAGAAGTTGGAATGTCTCGTGATTGTAAGTTCCATCTTACCTGATTCAGGCTTTCATATCTGGACGAACCTCTGAACATAAGTTCAGTACAATTATTATAGATTAACCAAGGGCTTAATTTATTCGGCCAATTTTCGCACAAGGGAATTTCTCGAAACAACATCAACAATGTCGGCTAGAAATCAGGCATTGGTTTGAGATTTCGATAAGACAGGAGACGGCCACCTGAACCATCATGGAATTAGTACGCATGCATGATAAAGGCAAAGATTAATAGACGGAGGCTGTAACTTACCGGCGTGTGACACACATTAATTCATAAGTGGAGTAATTCTGTTCTAGCAGTGCGATACGGTCGCCTGATGCGTCGTAAAGGAGAAAACGGAGGAGAAGGAAACGATTCGGTAGTGGAATTGTCAGATCCTGTTGCATTAGAGATTTCTGATCCAGCGAAGGAACTGGAAGAACTTATTTCGGGAGTAATACATGCGCACAAAGCTTGCTGTTTTTACCAGGCTAAGTATATGAATTGTGTGCAGCGTCAAATGGTCCAAACTGTAAGTTTAAAAAAATACGATGGCGTACTTTGTTCTCAGCTAAAGGATGTATGAATGCCCAGTGGCCACCCCTTCTCACACTTCTTCGTTGGAAAGTGAGTTGTTAAAATCATTCGTACTGAAAAAAGAAATAAATCCCAAAAATAAGCAGGAGATGGAAAGGGATAAATTTTTGCCAAAGCCGTACGATCACGTCAAAGTTTGCAACTTGATACTGTACTAACTCGAAATCTTGCCGAAAAACTGGCTGAAATTTTGTCGGCATTTTTATCATCTATATGGCAAATCGTATACCTAAAATGAGTATTGATTTGCACTTGCGCCACGAGTTAAGGCACTTCAAAGATATTTGTAGCGAAGTGAATATTTCGCTTACCGGATAAGATGCGAGGCTGAAACTTCGCTGGGATACTCTACTTTCAAGTACGATCTTAATTTTGTTTGTAAGTGAAATTCTGTGCAGGTGGGCATGAGAAATACTTAATTTTACTGTAAAACCAGAAACGAGTGCGTTTTGCAGCGAACGACCGCCCTCATCCAAATATGTAAATGAAAATCCAGTTCATTTGTATACTTGAATTTTTTGATGAGCGACCGCTCCAGCAACATGTCCAATTTTTAGTGAACTGGAAATTTGCATTTTTTCAAAAAGTGAATATTTACCGAAGGGTTCTGTACAAAAAACGGCCAGGTTCCATACAAAAAACTGTTAATCATGTACCTAGAGGTCCATGCGCTTCTATAATGCACCACCTTCGTCCCAACCGACGCCCCTTCTCCCTGCATGCCGGAAGGGGCCAAAACACAGCCAATATCAGCTCAAGTGTTTGGCTACAGCCCTTTCCTGCTATTTGCGACTTGAGAATTAATTAAAAACATTGGCGACGCGCACTGGGCAGGCTCGTGCGATCATGCGTTTTTGCAGTGTTTTGTGCTGTAATGAAACTGCTCGGAAACCCAGTAGCTAGAAACATGTGGCATAGTGATTCTCGGATTTTAGGAATTGTCTATGCTGTACTTGAACAAGAAACATTTTCTAAAAATTTCATCCTCCCTGTTTTTCCGGTTCTCGAATTAGCCATTTTCCCGCTAAAAACTTCCATGGGACCTTACATGAAAACCACGCTCACCAAGGGGCTGAATCCGATAAATTTAATTTGTACATATGCTGGGAACATTCGCTTGAAAATTTTAGCCACCTAGCTTTCCAAGTTCCTGAGCTAGCCATTTTTCCGCCAAAAAATTTCACGGAACAGTAACATGAGAAACCACGCTTGCCTGGAGGCTGGATCTGATAAATTTTTGTTGCATATGTGCTGGGAACACTCCCTGTAAATTTCAACCTCTCAGCTTTCCTGGTTCCCAAGTAAGCCGTTTCCCCGCCAAAAATTTTCACGAGGCCGTACGTGAGTACCACGCACACTGAGGGCCTGAGTTTGATAATTTTAAGTTACACTTGTATTGGAAACATTTCTTGAAAATTTCAGTCCTCTAGCTTTCTTGTCACCTAAGTTAGCGATTTTCGCGCCAGAAGACCTCACAGGGCTGTACGCAGGAACTACGCACACCTGGGGGCTCAATTTGAAATCTCTGAGCTCTCTGGAGATGGGGGATATAACCACAAGATTTTGGCTTTCTAGCTTTTCTGGTTCGCGAGTTAGCGATTTTCACGCCAAAACTTTCACCCCCTTGTATGCGGGCCCAGACATGCGTGAGGGTTGGTATCACGATCCTGGGGTGGCACTTGGCCGGGGAGCCTGCCGGCGAAATTTTGGCGCGGAAGCTTGCTTGGGTGCTGAGTTGAAATATCTGGGCAGATACACACATACACCGGGGTCGCCACAGTATGCGCTTTTGCACTTGCATATAAGCAAAAACGCATGAACGCACCGGCAAGCCTGGTGCGTTTTAGCCTGGATTATGTTCAATAACGTAAAACATCGTAAATTTTGCATAAAGAAGAATGAAAAATATGCTCTGAATGGCCGTTCACTGAAAATGATCGGGCTGTTTAATGAGCGGTTTTCCCGCCAAAACTTTTACATGCCTGAACGTGAGAACTACGCATACTTGACGACTGAATTTTAAATCCTCAAATTGTATGTGGGCGGGGACATCGCCTTAAAATTTCAGCCCTCCTGCGTCCCAGCCTAGGGCTATTTCTGTGAGCTCATCAAAAAGGATGATTGTTTTGCATGATCCACTGAATTAACCTTTGATGACTTAAATGTGCGCCGATATACACCCATCATGATAGGTTATGTCCAGCCTTTCACTATTCTTCCGAAAGACGAAGTCAGAAAGGTTTCAAAAAGATCCAGTTAATGTTAGAATCACCAGCAGGTGGTGCAGCAACGGTTACAACAGCTTTTCGAACTCAAAATAGTCGTCATTCCTAAGTATTAGTGAATGACGGTATCAACGTCAGAACACTTTTCTACGACCAGTCACTGGACCTGATGCTACAGGAACTCCAGAACATTTGCTTCTACAAATATATGTAAAACCAGAAAGTTATTGTTTTTCTGCCCGGTTGCTTAAATTTCAAGAACAAGTTTCATAATTTTTTGACAGTCATATTCTGAATTCCAATTACGACGGTATTACTTGAGACAAAATCGATTGAATGTTCAAAATGCGCTGGGTTAAGCTGTGAAAGGAGCGTTTAATTCGTGCAGAAGGTTTTGCAGTTCTGAAGGGTGTGTTAGTCTCTGATAATTGCCGTCCTCAGTTCTCAAATTTTTTTGGTCGATCCAAAAAAACTGCAGTCTATGCATCCACGGGCTCCAAAGATATCACTTTGGAGGCCGAAACAGTAATGGATGTAGAAAAGTCATGCTTTCTGAATAGGCGAACTCAATTTGGCATTCATGCTTTATGGATGAGTACTAGCTAGCTGACCTTGGATTCCCACTTTATAAAGGTTGCGCGAATTCTTTCTGGTGAATGACTAATCGTTTCAAGAGAAATGCTTTTGCGCTTTTCAGCCTCTTTGCTCAGATGCGACGGTCGTGGAGGGAAAATACAAATTGTGGCACTGTGTGAACGATGTGATGTTCGAGGACCTGCGTCGTTTCATCGAATTTAGCAAGCATATACCTGGTATTTTTTTGCGACTAACTGTTCCATTCATTATCACTAACTAATCTGGTATATTAGTGTTTCTTTGTAGTCCGAATACAATCAGTATGCGTCGTAGCTAGTGCCGCTTACTTCAGCTTCATATTCCAGTGTCAAAGAGATGCGAAGGCACTTCTTTCTGACCTCTATGATGGAGTTTTAACGGTAACAACTGTGGGTTTTCTGATCGGTCCATTTTCAGCAATTGTTGTGAAATTAGACCACAGGTGGTCTGAGTCCCAGCATGGCAGGCAACTATGCCTATCAATCTGTATTTGAAACAAATTAACCGGATGTTAGACGCTAATTTTTTTTTTTTTGGGCCGATATTATTTGCCAGTTATACAGCATGTGATAAAATGGATAACTTATCATTCCACAAAACCAAATGTAATTGAGCAAGAGCATCAGTCGGCTTTCTGTGTGAACTTTTAACTGTAATTGTGTGTGGTGACACTCCAGATTACAATGTTTCGCTTCTGGAACATTCTTCAAAATTGTCAGATTTAGGATTTATGGACATTAATTATATGGATCAGATTACTGCCGTGAAAACAGCGTTCTTCGAGGTTTGGCTTATTTGGGTGAATTGTATGGTGGATCATTCAATGGGAACAGTGACTTTTTGGGATGGAACGACATTTACTCAGAATCAACTTGCTATCGTTTATGGCGCTGCACTAGTAGAGCTGATTTTCGAATTCACAAATCAATTCGCCTCTCTCAGACTTACCGAAAACCAGAAGGCGCTATTCTGTGCAGTCCTACTACTCACTCAGAGTTCGTTCTTCGCTTTTTGCTGACAGAAAATTTGTCCATCCAAAGTAAATGCATATTCAATAGTCACTAATTGTGCTATTTTCCCAAGCGATCTTAACAAAAATTTTTTGTTAATTTTTTGAATTTAGAAGTATTTGGAAAAACGAAGCTTTAATCGTTTACTTAGTTATCTCAAAAAATTCATTCCTAAACTTTTGGCCCTCTTAATATTTAAAAAAAAAAGTCAATATTAGCGCTTTTTTCAGACAGTATTCCGAGATTGCGAGATGCCCAAAAGATGCTTCACCTGCGTGAAAAAGTGCTAGAAGCGCTCAAATATTTTTTAGAAAAGCAGCGACCAATGGAAAATCAGCTTTTCGAAATGCTGCTTACGAAACGTGAACATCTCCGGTTTATTGGTTTCTTTTTCAGAATTGCATCATTCTTTTTTGGGCAGTTTCTAGGTTATGATGCCAGTGACAAGAGATAAGGATGAAGGGTTTGATGAGAGGCTACATGGAAGATTATTAGTGAACAGAATGCAGGCAGTACGACAAAAATAAATTTTCCACTGCAGTTAACATACATACTGAACAAGTAGAAATATG